TATTTTTTTTTGTTTCAAAAGTTATCAAATATTAAATTTACTCTGATTACTAAATTTACCATTTTTATCATATTCTATGGTTTTATGATTTGTATCAATAATTGAATTACTGAAAAAAAGTCTTTTTTTTTTCTTCATGCATGTATTTTTTTTAATTTGTCCTTTTATACCTATCGTGTTTTAAAAGTTATTATTGTATTTATAGCTTATTACTTTAACCATTTTGCGATAGTTAAAAATTTTACGAATTTTTCTCTTTCTTCAAAAAAAATTTTTTTCCGCATGTAGTTGAGGTAAACACCTTTTATACTTTGATCTATTAATTTGACCAATATGTTAATTTTAATTAGAAAAGTTTCAACTGAAAGCATTTTCTAAAAAATAATCTCAGATTTGTATTTTATTTCAACAATCCGTTCGATATTTATAGCGGAAAACGCGGAAAATCGTGTCTTTTCGAACTTTAACGATTGAGGACGGGATCTAAATAATATATATATATATATATTTTTTTTTTTTTGGCTGAAATTTTCAGATAATTTGTTTTATAGCAAATGGCTGCTTTTTAGAGCGTGTCATTAAAGAAATTCGAACTTTTCTGAACTTAACTTAAATTCGAACTTTCGTTTTTGACGACCACCCTTAAATATGTCAACTTTATCGAAATCAGGACACAATAGTATAGGTAATCTCTCATCAGTAAAAGTGTATGGATTATACAGGGTTATTCATAATTCCCTCCGGGGTTCGAAGCGTTATAGTAAAAAAAAACGAAGGCGAATATGGCAAAAAAGAGCATCTGAAATTATTCCGAAAGTATTCAAATTTTAATTTAAGTAGTTACCGGTAGATGGCAGTAACATGTACCACTGAAGCCAGTTGTAGTAAAGAAAAATGGCGTTTACAGACGGAGGGAATTATGAATAACCCTGTATAGTCACGTGGTTAAATTTTACGCTGCGTTTCGGATTGAGAAAGAATAAAACTGTTTGAAAGTTAGAATTATTTTTCTTTTCTGTTAGTTTCATTGTTACAACAACACAATATTCGACAAGAAAGTTACTAATATTATAAGCGTGAAAGAAATTTATAAATGCTAGGTACATTTTACAGATTTTTAAAAACTATTATATTCTAATAGTACTTATTCTAGATATTTATTATTTTACTTAAACTATTAGTATGCTAGAGTCATTCTTAAATACAGAATTTTGCATATTACAATTCAAGTACTTCAGAAAAAGAAGAAAAAAAATTCCAATTCAGTAAAGGGTTATCAAAATTAAACATCCATTGTTACTATAAATATTATATTTCATATCATCTGTGCAGATGATTTTAAAGTCTGTCAGTTACTGTTTTTCATCTTTCTATCTGCTGTAAAAGAATTTAGTTCCTCTTATTTAATAATATTAGTTGCTGTTTTTTTACGTTTATAATAATAACGAACTTTTCTAAGTGTTTTTAATGAAAATTTTCAATTAAAATATCATAAAAAAAAGAATAGCTATTTCCCAGCAAATTTTCTTTTATTGAATTAATCACTTTACTTCTTTTTTACGAATAACAATTTACGTAATTCCTGTCTTTTTCACTTATTTATCAATGTCGAACAATTTTATCCTCGTTTGATAGAACAATTATAAAACTCCTGCCAAAAATATTGACAATCAAGAAAAAATTTCCTCGATTATAATTACAAAGCTGTTATAATAAATAATAATACGCCGTTCTTTCAATAGATGTTTCTTTTAGTTTTTGGCCCTCATCTAAAAATGTAAAAAGAAATTTCAATTTCAATGAACTTTTCATAAAAAAAAGTATAAGTAAGTTTCAGTTGTTAGCTTCTAATAAAAACCCAATGCGTACTAATACTTTTGTCCAACGAAGGCTGAACTAGATTAGTAACTTAACTGTTACGTATCAAACAGTTACGATCAAGTTCAGTCCTGGTTCTGCAAATGATAACAGGAAGTATTTTATCCATTATCTTTTAAAATAGCTTTTATCTAAATAATTTTCAAATGCAGTGCAGACTGTTTATATATAGTTAAGCTTATAGCTAAAAAGAATCTTTGTTAAAAGTTTTGTACATAAATTGTTAAAATATCACTTAATTATGTTTGAAAATTTGTAATATTTATATTATATGAAATTATTAAAAGCAAAGAAATAAGTGGAATAAATTGGATGGAACATGCGATTTAAATGAGTTATGACAATACAATTGAAAAAAATATTGCTTTTTAGACCCATTGGAACAAGAAAGCAATGAAGACCATGGTTGAGATGGGCTAACTCGGTGGAGTTCGATTTTCTTGCAATTAATGAAAAGAATTGGAGATCAAAGATAAATCGGAAATCATTATGGAGAAATCTTCAGAGGAAAGCATTGGCCCACATTGGACTGTCTTACCAACTGTGATGATGATGTTGAGAACATTTTTTAAGTCAATCATTTTGCCTAGAAAAACGTGAAAAGTGTATGCGTTCGAAGCAAAACATTTATTTTTCAGAACAGTCTGTGGTTATTTATTTTTCTATTTTATTTATTCTATTTTATTTTTTTGTTAAATTTTATTTATTTGAGAAAAGCAACTTAGATTCACATTCAGAAACCATTCTTGAGTTTAAGCACATGCTTATACTTAGGTTGGTACAAATGCTTCCCATATTCATTATAAATGATATAATGTCAGACTTAAGGGAACTCTTGGGGACTGTTTTAAGTTTAGATTCTGTAAAACTATATAAACTCATTAATTAAATTTTACATTGAATAAGATTTTGCAACTTTAAATCAACGTAAAACATACATCCGATTTGGTTTAAAATTGAACAGTATACGTTACTAATGTATGCAGTTCTTATAATACTTAAATATTAATTGTTTGTGATTGATGATAAGTGTTTATTGTTTCACCAATTTGCAAAAAATAATAATTCTATGTACGTAGCAAACTGCAATAATACTACGTATCCTATTTAGCTTTTAGGTAAATTGGAGGAAAAAAAATTTGAAGCAATAATTAAGCAAGTAATTGGCAAATGAAACTGGGGGGGGGGGGTATTTAAAAGAAGGAAAAATTTTATCTGGAATTCATTTTTAATTATTTTTCATAAATTTGGTGCATCCTTAAAGCTACAACTGGAGGTATAATCTCTTCCTTGTTCCCCGCTAGCTATGCCACCTAATACAAATAAAAGGTAAATCGATTAATATCGTCTGTTGTTAAACATCATATACAATAGATTATAAAAACTGTACAAAACGATTATTTAACTTTATGCATGCAATAAATAAAGCTGTTAAATTATTAGCTGTTAAATTATAGCTGGAAAAAAACATTTCCAGAAAAAATTATTATAGACTGATAACTTTTCTCTGTCTTTTTTTATTTTTATTTTTTTTCTTTCTTAATTTACAGTAACATGTTTTTCAATGGTTTTTTTTACTGTATATAAATATTGTGAAATTTATCTGTGCTTTTTTTTTCTATTTTTTCGCGTTATTTAGAAAGAATAGAAAAACATTTCGCGACAGTTATTACTTTTTTTTATTCTAGGATTTTTACAATTATTAGATTTAAGGAAATATTGCTTAACTATGAGTCAAATTGCTAATATACGGAGCACAGTTAAAAATAAATTTAATGTTTTTTAAACTAACTTTTACAAGATGGAAAATTATGTAAAACACATTGATCAACCCATTCCGTTGGGAAATAGAGGACAATTTAAATTTGAAGAAAAGAAATTTAATCGAAAAATAATGTTTATAGTATTGAAATAAAAATTAAAGGTCTTTTCATACATAATTGTTATCATTAACTTATATGTATATCCACCTTGAAGAATTTACGTCCGAAGTAAAAAATTTCAAATTAATTATGCAACATATTTTACAAATTAAGTTTACATTTAAATTACAAGTTTTACAAGTTTACATTTAAATTACAAACAAATTTATAGAGTTTAGGCAATTTGTAAATGATTAATAATTTGTGTGCTTTTGTATGATTTGCGACAGACACCAGCAGTTTAATCCATTTAATTTGAATTTATAATAAGAAAATTTTTAAAAACAAATAGTTTTTTTTTTGTTTTGCTTTTTTAAGGTTATGATGTACTAAATATTTGATATAAAAAAATTTTTGATTATAGACTGAAATTATGTCCGACACCATGGAATTGCCCAAATACCTTATTAAATTATATCAAAGCAAGTTTTCTATTTTGTGAAATTTATTCTCTAATTAATATACCTTTTATAAATTTAATAAAAAAATACAAAAATCAGTTTTATTCCTGTTTTTTTTTAATTTTTGAAGGCCCTAAAAAATCTGGAAGCAGTAGCATCACTGTTCCTCCGAAAGAAGATAAATTTAGTTTGGTTCTTATAAACCATAATCCAAATATTTTTTATGTGTAGAATTTACTTTCATAACGAGTTAAATACTAAATATAGATAAATTTACTACACCGATTACCTGGGATTTAAATCTAGGCAGCATTGTAGGTTACTAAGAGCGTAATTAAAATATCACCTTAAAAAAATAATCGTAGTTTAGCTATTAAATAGTTTTTGTTTCTTTTAGTTCAAACTACTATGAATTATAATAGAAAGAATTTATCTGAGATGCTTTCATTTTATATGAATATTTAAAACAATAACATATCATGTAAGTAAAATAAGCATTCTTGTTAAAATATGAATTAAAATGAGGCAGAAATCAATGGAATTCATAGTGACAAGATCTGCGAAAGCGATTTTAACTTCGAAAATATTCAACGCAATTCCAACATCTATACCTAGTGCTGCCATCTAGAGGCAATTAATATAGCATACTAATTTCATTGACGTTTTGTTGATAAAAATAACTTTAGGTTTTAAATGCAATAAAACATTAGTTGAATTGTGCTATTGCTTATAAATGAGTGATTTTAAGCAAATGCTTCCTGAAATGTCATTTGATTACATTCAATTAGCTAACAGCTCACTAAATTCAAACAATACTGCAATAACATCCCTAAGTAAATGAAGTGAAATGAAGTTCCATGTTTGTTTTGTTTTTATTGGCACCGCATGTTTTTGTTCGAATTTTTGTAACATATCAATAAGACGCTGTTATCTGATTTGTTAAAAGATTTTTATGAGCAAACTGATTACATAAGTTAGTGATGTCTTGAAACAGTGAAATGAAATGTTCTATTCGGGGATATTCCAAAATCGCATATTAGAAATTTCCATAGGAGTTGGTACTGTAGCTATCGTAACCTTAGTGACTTTTCGCGCTTTTCGAAAACCAAAAAAAATTACCAGAATTATAGATACGGTAATGTGTTTTGTTAGCAATAGTTTCATTTGCAACGAATAGTCATTGTTTATTTTACTATTTTCTATTAGCGACTGTTACTCAGAAGCAATCTTTATATAACACTATGTATCCGTTGCATAGTAATTTCTTATTCAAATCTTTAATGAAATATATATTTGATAAACGAATGCAGTAATTTGTTCAAAAATCAATATTAGGAAAATTTAATGCAAGAAACTCTTTGGAACCAGGAAATATATCGCATGAATTTTTAATGTTATGAATTTAATATCATTTCATGCAAATATAATTAAAGAAAAACATTTGTAGCAATTGTATTTCATATTGTTACTACTAACGGTAGTCAATTGTGGTTACTTAATTTATCTCAAAACTTTGCATTATCCCAAAAAGCAATATAAAATTTTAACAATCTGATGTAAAATGTAAATCTCTTGTGCAGAATTACAATATTCATTTTTTATTTATAACTATTAGGAAAAACCAAAAAAAATGGTATTTTTTAACTAGATAATGAAATTTGAATGTTCAAAATGTAATTCTTTAAAATAAAATTTTTTTTGTTATAAAAAATTGGTTTTCTTATTGAACTTCATGATGATACTATTCCAATCTATGTGTTCAAAATTTATTTATAAATGGAAATTTACTGGTACAGTAAAGTGTTATAGCAGGGATGGCGAACCTTTATACACCAACGTGCCATTTTTTCTAAAAAATTGTTTCATGAGGTCATAGACGTGACGTCAAATAATTTTGAGTTCGTGATTATTGGGAAAATAATAATACTAAATACTATCAACTCAAAAAACTCTTTATTTACTTTGAAAAAAAAAAAAAAAACATTATGCCATGTCTTAAAAGAGCTTAAAGTATCATCAGTGTGACTTCTGTTGATGCAGATTCGATGACAAATAACTTATATTAGGTTGTAAGATGTTAGTTTAAGCAGGATTATTAATGTTTTTTTTTTGCTTGTTATTCATTGTTAGCTTGCTTTTTATGGTTATTAATTGTTTTTTTAGCATTAATTGTTAATTTTTTTATTAATAATTGTTTATTATTTTGTTTGCTTTTTGTGAATTTTAATTTAATTGTTACATATGCTTCATAGTGTAATAACATTTGTGTAATAACAATTCATAGTGTAATAACAATTGTGATCGGTGGCGTGCCCAAAATATTGTGTCGCGTGCCATTGGTTCGCCATCCCTGTGTTATAGGGATCATTTTACCCTTTCTCATTATATTATATATTTGTTTCAAAACTATTCTTCATTTAGATCGTTTGTAGTACTCAAGTCTCTTTTTTTTGTTATTAGTACACAAACTGTAGCCTCATGCATTCAGTCAGTAGCCTCAGTAATTTTTTTTTTAAAAATGTTGAATTATTATAATTAAATCCTTTTTATTTTTAAAAAAAAATGTCTTGTCTGTCTGCATGTACAGAAATTTTTTGAAATAGGGTGTCTATAATCAGTACCTGAGTTATTAAAACAAAGTGTAATGGTTTTAAATCCGATTCACTGTTACTATTATCGTTATATCTTATTTAAATAATTGACAACATTATACACTACACATGCTATCACATAATTATCACATTAAAATTTTCACTCTTAGGTTAATTCATAATTAACTAAGCATCTTTATTGAATTGTAGATTGCATGTGATCTCATTTATAGATGCACCATATTACCTGTTCATATGACTTATAGATGCACCATAGTAAAAATATGTATATGTTACTTTTTAAAAAAAAACAACTTCTAGCTGTTAATTCTAGCTCTAATTTTGGTATAAACTGTTTATTTTCATTTCAGAAATCTGTTTTTCTCCATACATAATTCATTTTAAATATGATCTCATAAAAATCATATAAATATCTAACTAAGCTCTATAGTTAAAGAGTTAAAAACTGCTAATGTACTGACTCGTTATTGCTAATACAATTGTTTCTTGTAATTATTAAAGAAAAAGTTTGTCTTTTCAATGCATATTTGACTTCAGTTAAAGATGCAGTAAGGCCAAGAAAGCAAAGAAAAAGTAATTAAATGCGCTTTGTTGCATTCAGCAAATGTATCAAAGTTTTGTTACTTTTTAATTTTCTCTTGTCATAATTTATAATACATGAGATTTTCCGTCAAAGCTAAATAATGAAAAAAAAAATTTTCAGATGGAATGTTTAAACAAGCCCACTGTCCATATAAAAAATCGAGATTGTGTTGAAGAACTTGTTTCACAGCTAATTAAAGGAGGTGCATCCAAGCTACAAGTGAATATCAATTTTTTTATTTTTTAAAAAACAATATGTATTTGATGAATTACTAATTCAAGCCATTTCTTTATTTTAATTTTGATAACAAAAATTGATATAGTAGTTCCTTTTAGTACTAGGGTTGTTTATATTTTTGTTCTAAAATAAAAATCTTAAGTTGTATGTTGTAAAGCAGGCCTAGAGAAACTTTTTATTGTCTGACAAAAAAATGAAAAATGCACAAATTAATAAATATATTAGAAATGAAAACTAATAAGTTCAATATATTATTTTAGAAAACTTATAAGTAATTATTTATATAGATTTTTTTTTTTTTTTTGTCATAGTAAAGAAGATAAACTTGAAGTAGTAGAAAAATTTAAATAATAGTTCTAATTATATGACTTTTATTTTTCAATATTTTTACACAGTTCTAATTTACAAAATTCTTCTGAAAAGCATGGTGAACTAGATTTTTTTAATGGATCAATATCTGAAGCTACTCGTTAACTATTAAAAAATATATCAATAAAATTATGTAATAACTACTATGTTCAAATTTTCAAATCCACTGATTTGATTCGATTTGCAAAATCAGGGTTGGTCTTCTTTTTTGGGGAAGGGAGGTTGAGTTTGATAACATTAGGTGAGAAATTACATTACATAATTCTGGAAAAAAATCAAGTAAGTTAATGACCTACAAATGAAACCTAGAAAGTTACACTTTTTTGTCCTGTCACTTTATTTATGATATTATTTCATGTTTACTTGAATAAATGAAAGATATAATTTAAATTGTGTAAAATTCTTATATTGTAAGTATTTTATACTTAATTTATTTTTATAGATTATCTCGGATTTTGATCATACAATATCCCGGGTGCATGTAAACAACAAACGTTGCGATTCAACATATGGTAAGTTTCGTAATAAAAAAAATTTAAGAAATTAATTATTAAACTATTGAGATCCTGGTTATTAATTTTTTTATATTTACTTGAGAATTATCTAATTCTCAATTCAAATTTTATTATTCGATTTTATTCTGCATTTATGTAAGCTCTTAATGTAAATGAATTAATATATTTGTAGATATTAAAGTTACAATTAGAATTATACTAATTTATAATCTCGAAATTCCTACTAGAAATCTCATTTTGATTTTATCTGTTGTGTTTTTGGTTTTATCTGTTATTGTTGGCCTCATCAGATTTAAGCTACTCTGTTTCTAGGATGGTTATTTATCCTTTCTAGAAACAGTGTAACTTGAATCTGGTTAGACCAACCATTAAATTTTGACCTTTCAAAAGTTCAATTTACGATTAGTTTCAGTGTTTAACAATCAAATATATTAAAAATTGTCTTTGGGATAACAAGTTCATAGCTTTGTACCTTAAAAGCATTTTTTTTTTCACAGTATTAATAGAATCTTTGAAGGAGAATTCCATACTTCAATGATATATCTTTTTTCTGTGCATTTGAATTAATAAGATCTATTTTATTTTTTAAATAAGAGTTTTTTACCCTAGCTGAGACCTCATTAGCAATAAACATTTTTTTTTCAATACGAAAGGACAATTGATAACCACAAGGTTCTTTGATCTGTGTAAATGAATGAAATAAATTGAAAACTGCATTAACTCTTTTTGTGAAATGTTGTATTAGGTGATTTGTTTTTGAGATCAAACATATTTTTCATGATTTTATTATTTATTAGACTTAACAGTTTTCTCAATGTCATTTAGCAAAAATGATTGCTTATAACCACTGTAATGCTATTTGCTTAAAGCAGAAATTTAAAATTATGAAGGAAGTGAATCTAAGTTTATTGTTTTTTATCAAAACTCATTAACCATAACTAACACATAAATATTTGCTATAGCATTCATTCAAGATATAGCGACCTCATTTTATAGTGTCCATTTTTCTTTATATCACAGAATTCATTAATTCTAGCATTGACTGTATTGTAAGAAAAAATTATTATATGCTTCAATTTTATAAATAAATGCATAAGTTAAGAAATTGTTAAATACTGTATTTAAGCTAAACTTTACTGTGCTTTGAAATTTTTTAGGTGTTCTGGAACATTCTCATTATATATCAGATGAGTACAAACAACAGGTAACATAATTTTTCCACTTCCTAAAGTTGTTTAGAAACTAAATGTTATATTTTGAGTTTGATATTTATAATGTGTAATTCAGATTAACCTCTTTTTATAAATCTTTTTTTTTTTTTTTTTTAATTGACTGCAGATTAATTAAATATAAAGTAATTTAGAAGCTCCATTTATAAATTTGTTTAGTTGTGTATAAATTAATTTATACCTTGACTGTATAATAAATTTTATTAAATATTTTTATCCATGCATTAATTCATTTAGTCGAAATTAATTTAAGAACATTTTTACTATTTTCTAATGCAATGTTTGCCGATTTATATAATCACTTGTTAGCAGAATAAATTGTTTATTGTCCTCAAATTTTCAAGAATGGAATCATTTATATGTGATAGCATTAGAATTTCTTTAATTATCAGACTCACAACTACCAAATATCGGTTAAAAAAAAACTTCTCTTTTTAGTCCACTTGAAAAAAGTAGTTTTTAAAGTATTTACTTTGTTTCATTTTAATTACTTATTTTGCATCAAAACCAAATTATTTATTTTAGACTAATGTCCTCTTTCATCATTATCATCCAATTGAAGTTGACCCAGCACTCTCAAAAGCTCAAAAACTGCCTTACATGATTGAATGGTAGTTTTGTTTTATTTTTGTATTTTATTGTAGAAGTATGCATTGTAAAATTATTGTTAAACATTTAAATTTTTTTAGGTATTCGAAAAATCTTGATCTTATGCCAATATCTGGTGTAACGAAAGGCTGTTTAAAAGATATGGTCACAAGCTCCAGCATTTGTCTTAGGTTTGTTGTTTAATGCAATTTTTTTTGTTGCTGATATTGTTTTGTAAAATCTTGATACCATAAATTTTTTTAATGTATTATTAGAAAGCTATGTCTTCTGGCTGTTGTTTTTCAACTCTCACTGTTTAATATTTAAGTGAATTTGTAGCAGAATATTCTGAGTCTATTATTTTAAAACTACTCATGTTAAGCTAGCAGTTAAAAAAGTTTTAACTACTCAAGTTTTAAGTCATGTGACAAAATGTAAATTATGAATGGTATACATTATCTGGATTAATTTCATATGCTCCAGCAAAATTAAAATAAAAATATGTTTTGTTTACTTTTACTTTTTCGTTATATTATATTGGGATGACCCAATCAGAATATTAATTTCCGGGACTGATCTAATAGCTCCAGAAAATATTATGTGAATTAAATACCCTTTTAGTGTGTTTTGAAATAAATTCCCTCCACCTGATGCAATGAACTTCTGTATGCAGCTGCAAAAGTTTCAGAAATAGCTTTTAATACAATCTTTTTAAATGCTTTTTAATTCTGATGGAATTGTGCAGTAGCAATTACTATCCTCAGCGGAGTGGTTATTTTGTTCCTGATTTCGATAGTGGCAACAAAACAAACAGTGTGCATACGCAGCCTGGTGCAAGTTAAATCTGTCATGACTGAAAGTGCAATCATTGGCTGTGATCTGAAAATTTATAGAGAGTCTACCAGCTCAGGTGCTGTTCACATCAACCGAACAGAGTCAAAAATTACGGGGCATTCCTGCCATGACTGTTAAAAGATAGAGCCCTAAAAAAACAGGGCCAGGTATCTGACCACGTTTGAGTGGTGTGTGGTGGATAATCATTTATCATACTCTTCAGAGAAATCTCTAGCAGACTGCCTCCAAAACTAAAAAAAAAAAAATGCTAAAGTTTAATGATGTAAAAATTATTAACAAAATCTGAATATTAGAATTGAAGAACATTTCAAAAGAGGGTTTTTAAAGTTGTTTCTGAACCTTTTACATATGCATGCAAAAATGTATTGCTGCAGGTAGAGGTAACTTAGAAACATAATAAATGGGTGGTACATAATATTTTTAGATTTAATAGATCAATCCTGAAAATTAATAGTCACTATTTGTATTGTTTGATTTATACATTAATGTGCAAATAGAATGATGTTAAAAATGTTTTAAATACATATATTTTTTTTCCTAGGGATGGTTGTGATCAGGTTTTTGAAACTTTGTACAGAAATAATATTCCACTATTGGTTTTCTCTGCTGGCATTGGAGATATATTAAAAGAAGTGCTCCACCAAGAAAGTCTCTTATATCCGAACGTAAAAGTCATTGCCAATTTCTTACAATATGATGAAAAGGTACTGACTAATTATTTTAAAATGTATGTAACTTGAAAATTATTAAGTGGGCAATCTTTCAATAAATACTCTTCTAAAAAATAAGGAAATAATTTCTGATTGTACATGTGTATGTAAAATGCTCTTAGATGTGTTTATACTTATAAAAGTGGCAATGTAAAGATTGAGATATGTAGAAAAAATTTGAGTTTTTGTGGAAAAACAGGAAAATTCATACTTGTACAGAGATTATTGCAGCAAAAAAAAGTTTAAAGAAACAGAATAAAAAATTTTATTTTGAAAAATTAAAATAGGCTAAGAGAGAGCAGCTGAAAGGTCTGAGTACCACAACTCATTTCTTGCTGCAAGAAATCGTAATTTACAGTGATAGTACAGACATTAGAAAATAATGTGTATAGAATGAGTTGATCATTAGCTGTTAATCTTTGCCATGGTCTCCTTTCTCAGATGTAGAATTTAAAATGTGCTAGTGATGCCCCTGTAAACTTGAAGTAAAATCAACAGTAATTAATGTAAAAAAAATTTCACTACAGTGCCAATTCATTGAGAAAATACTTGATTGGGGTAAATTTAAACTATTGTGAGTAGGCTAAAATAAATAACATCATTATCAATGAAATTGTGCAAAAGTTATAGTTAATTTTAGGTACAGTTAAGCTTTTTTTTTCCCCCAATGAGTTGAACTTCTAAAAATCTGTTTCTCATAGATCAATAATGTAAATATTCAATGGGCAGGATAATCAATAAGAGTAATAATCAATAAAAATTCTACTTTCTTGATTGTTTTGGTATTTACCTTTCAATTTATTTATTTTTTGCAAAGAATGAGCATTTGGCTAAGTTAACCCCTTGATATATAATCATAATCTGTTTCTATTGTCTTTCAGGATAAACTTTTGGGTTTCAAAGGAAATATGATTCATACTTTTAACAAAAATCTAAGCTCAGTAGAGAATAAAGATTATTTTGAGCAGTTGAGTGGTAGAAATAATATCATTCTTCTTGGTGACTCACTGGGAGATTTAGACATGGCAGAAGGAGCTGAGAATGTAAATGTTACACTCAAAATAGGCTATCTCAATTTTAATGTAAGTATTTCATTCTCATTCATATAGCTAAAACAAATTATATTAATTTGAAAAAATATCTAGAGTTCATTAATGGATCTAGTAAAAATTCTCTTTTAATATTTTTCTTTCAAAGCCAAAAAATAAAATTTTTGTTTAATTTGGTTTGATTATTGAAGTGGCATTCGAGGTTCTCCAATTGGCTGGTAGAGACATAAAGCTGTTATGCAAATAGTGCAAGCCCATTGTAATATTTCTCCATCTCTCTTTTTATTCGTCTCAAAAATCAGAATCTCCTTTAACAGTTTTTTTTTTTGTGAAACCAAATGCGGCACAATAAACTAGCATATTTTAAAATTTCAACATAGATTATCTTCTATTAAAATAACAAGGAGAAACGAAAGGTTGAAAGTACTTTCTCTCAATTCGCTCTGCAGTCATGTGGTTTCAGTGTGAAAACATAAATTATGTAAGTGATGTGTAAGCTTTATTAATATTTCATCTCCATGATTAGAGATGGCTTAAGATTCATCAATAATATTATGCATACACTACAGTTCAGTAAGTTAGATAGAGTCATGCAAATTGTTGTAATCATCATTCCTCTGTGCCATGCCTCCAATATATGTGAAGACATCTCTAGCTCTAAAACAGCCAGAAACATTAAGTTAGAGTAGATAATGAACCATTAAAGCAATAGTTTCATTCTACCAATCTACGGGGTCCTATCCCATACATCATATCACCTCAGTTCCTGAGTTGTAGTAAGTTATTTTTTTATACCATGTGATTGTTTTCCATCAGTCAAACACATACCTGCCAAGTCTCCCGTTTTTTAACGAGGACTCCTGTATTTTGGGACTATCTCCTGTTTACCCGTATTCTCAAATTTCTCCGTATTTGTTGAAGAAATTTAAAAAAAAAAAAAAATTATACTTCTCTTATTCCTCAACAGATAGTGCTATTGTCGGTACTGCAGTATGTTGAGTGTTTATGTTTTAAGTAATTATAAATAATGGTTTAAAAAAATCTTCTTTAGATTAAAATTTATATAATTTCTTTTTACTTCGCTATAAGTAAGCGATTATATTATTTCCAACTCTGAATTTCTCTTTTTGACTTACATGATCATGCATGATGTATCAAAACTTTACTTATAGCCTAAAAAATACCGCCAGTAAAATCTCTGTTATTTTATTTCTCCAATGTTGGCAGGTATGCTAACGTTTAATTCAAATAATTGATAAAAAGTAAAATAAAAATTCTGATTAATTTGCTTCATGTGTATATTAATTTTAAAACATAGTGGAAAAAAAACATATTTTTTAGTAAACTGAATTCATTCTAGGATGCCGATAAACAGTAGTGTATTGTTCGATTGTATATTTTAATAATTTTTTCCTGTTGCTTGTACATTCATAAATTGATTATCTTTGTACTCATTTTAGTAATTCAAATCTTTTTTTATAGATTGAAAAATCTCTGCCTGACTATTTAGATTCATATGATATAGTTTTAACAGACGACCAATCTATGGATGTGTTAGTGGGACTTTTACAGAGCATTTTGTAAACATATTCAGTTCCTTCGTAATTCTCAAGGCTGTGTTTTGTGGTTGTACTTTGATTTATCCTCATTTTTTTTTTTAGTGATATGGATGATAATTTTATACATCTATACATTTAACTGTATAAGCCTTGCAGCACATTTGCCTTTAATATTTTTAAACTTTTGTCTAATAGTATGCATATGAAGTTTTGATAATTTAATCATGTTTATGTCTAAAAGAAGATCTGTGTTTTTAAAGGAATGTTTAAATAGTTATGTTTTAATTGAATTTGATATTTTTAGAGTAAAGAAAAACAACACTCTGACTTACCCGAAAATTGCCTTATATTACAGTAAACACATTCAGAAGTATTTTCATCGAGAAATATCACTACTGATCTGCATTTCTATTTGCAAATAACCTTTAACGTATTTTAGAGGCACTTCTCATCAAACCATGAGTTCAATTATTTTTGTTATTATTTTACAAAAAAGTAACTGAAGTTCATCGAAAAATTACTCTAACAAGATTTGATATATTTTTAGTTTTTGACCACATTGCTAACAATTTTCTTATATTGCCACCATTTTATTTTTATTTATAGCTGGGGCATTAATGGTGATTATTAAAATTTGCTTGGTTATTATGTCAGACGAATTCAACGCGAATTACTATTATGTAGTTGAGTTTAGCCTTGTCAATTTTATTTTTTATTGATTTAAGAAATTCAACAATAAAGTTTGAATATGAAGAAGAAAAAAAGAGGCTGTAGTGGTAGATTCTAAGTTCAAAGAAAAATTTATTTAAGAAATGTTGCAGCACTATTCTTACTTCGTTAAATTAATAATTTGAATCCTTTAGCCTTGTTACATTACTTGATTACTTAATATAAATTTTTTTGTAGATAAAAGCAATTTTTTTATTAAAAAGTGAAATTGATTAATTTTTTATAAAAATTTAATTTAATGAAATAAAAATTTTATGATGAATTTATTTTAATTTGATGAAATAAAAATTTAATATACATTTTTTTTGTAGATAAAAATAATTTTTTAATAAAAATTAATTAATTTTTATACTTTACTTACTTTAATTTATTCTAAAAATGCCTAAGCTTAATTTTAATGCATTGTCTCATTCCTGTAGATCTTTTGCATAAAAATCTTTTAATAGCCCACTATAGTGTTCATATATAAATAAATATATATATTCATATTTTACTTCAGTAATTTAAAAATTGAAGACATGTTCTTATGATTATTAGTTCTTATATAAAAGAGAATGTTATTTTTAGATTTATATATTTTACTTTTTTAGATTTTTATGTTTTTCTTTTTAAAAAAATAATTTTATTACCTTTAGTTATGAGAGCCTTATTTAAACTGCTTGCTTATTTATGATTAAAACTTGCATAAACAAATTTTTAATTAGTTTGAATTAAAAATTTTTAAGAAGTGCTAACAACTTGTTTGAATTCAACTAATTCTTTTTTTAAGAAAGAACCATACACTTTGATAATTACTACTCTGTTTAGAAATATAAATTTTATATATTTCTATTTGCTTTGTTTTAGTTCTTATAATGTTATAAGGGAAAATTACAAGGATTTGTTTGAATATTGTATTGTAATCATCATAAAATGTAAAAGTTAGATTGTTCCCACTTTGTATTCTGCATTCTTGATCCTTTAGTGTTGAGAAGTTTGTTTGTTAACTCATCATATGCTAAAAAATAATAATGTAAAGAAAAAAAAACAGTATTTATTGCACAATGTAAATTCTAAGATGTTCATATGTAGAGCGAAAATGTTGATGTCTGTAAGATTCATTACTAAAATTACCTGGAAACAATGTAAAATGTATCCCAAATTTATCAAAACCTTTACTGAATTTAGAATGATTAAATTTAAACTTAATTAGGCACTTATTTAAACCATGTTTGTTTCTAACTATTATATTTTAAAACATAATTCAAGTTATTTTATAAAAAATAATGGCAACTATTCTATTTCAAAATACTAGTATAACTTTGTACAAGCCAAGCAAAAGTCCTTAACATCGATAAGAAATAGCTGTATAAAAAAGTAATATGGGGTGCAATGTAATTAATATGTTGAATATAGAAGGCAATTTAAATAAACATCTGATTAATTCCACACATTGTACAATTTGTCATAAATATAAAAGCTCAGAAAGCAAAACGGAATCTGCGTTATTAGAGAAAAATAGCTGTGTTACTCTAGAGTAACTGTAGAGAAGAAGAAGCTTTATAAAGAAAAAACTATCGAAATCGTTTGTTTCAAATGCTATCAGGCTTTCATTATGATATGTAGTTATTTTGAATAGTAAAATTGTTCATTAAGAGTTATTAATATTAGGTGATAGTTTCAAACAAAATAGAGTAGATTAGAAAGACATTTCCAAAGATAGAATAAATTATTTTCATTCTTCCATAGAGTAAGAAAAGCACTGCAGCTGTTAAAAAAATTTTTGATTTTGGAAAAGAGTAAAATAATCAATTCTTTACGTTTTTCCCTGCATCGAATTAAACTGTACTTGTATTTCATTGTAAAAAAATTGCGATTTAAAAGTGTTATCAATTAAATATGTATTTTTTAATGTTTAAATCTTTCAAATTTTATATGAAATTGATTGTCTTGTTAAAATTATTTCTGCAAATAGTTATGGAACTGTATAGTTTTTCCCTAACATTTTACATAAATCTCATGCAAATAAAATATAAAACACTATATAACTTATTTTTATTTGTTTTAACATATTATTTAAATGAAATGTTTTTTCAGATTTGTAAAAATGAATACATTATAATTTACGATATCTTGATTTTGCAGTAGTGCATAAGCTATTAGACATAGTGTTGCACCTAGAAACCATTGTCCTTTTATTTTTATAAACTGTAACAAAACATACATATTTCAGCGGAACCATAAAAATGCCTTTTTGTTGCATTCTAAATTATTTAAAAATAACATTTTAATTGACAAATTCCTAATTTTGATCAAATTAAGTTGAATATATTCCAAGCAATAAAACTTCAAAAGTACTCAACTCTTAAATTATTTGTTTCTCAAAAACTACTTCTGTTCAAATTTTCAAGATTTGTGAAATCATCTGATAATATAATTTTACCTATAAAGGGTTATGAATGTTTCATTTTTTAGCCATAATCTGGATAAATCCTGTATCAAACCTGGGAATTTATGATAAAAAGTAGCTAGTCGGGATCAAATTAACTAAATCTAGCATATACAGGGTATCCGCGCACCTGGAAAGTCATGAATTTCAGTATTGAACCAAATTTGTCATGAAATGTCATGGTTTTTACTATTTTTAAAAAAAAATCATGGAAAGTCATGGATTTCGGTCTCTGAAAAATCCAATTTTTAAAATGGAATCCCCCACCCCCATTTCATCCTGTTCCAAATATCTAAATTCCTAACAAAATCCCCACTCAGGCATATTTTATTCGAATATAAAATGATTTTATCATGTTCTTTAAAAATTATGGTGTTCTTTCCAAAAATGAAGGGAAAAAAATTATTTCCATAGCGAATTATCTTTTAAACTTCTGTGATTTAAGAATTTTTATTATTTATTTTTTTTTAATTTTATAAATTTAAAATTCTAGTAGAAACAAACCAGTCATTGGCGAATTTTTTTTATTCCGAAATGAGAACAGAAAAATCAGGAGTATTTCTTTCCTTTCTGATGAACAAGAAAAGTATCTTTAGAATATAACTCTGCAGAAAAAAAATTATTTGCTTTTGTATTTTTTTTCACCTATTTTATTGTTTCAACTCTTTCTTTACTCTGTTTTTTAAATTTAGAATCTGTAAATATGAAGATGCAGAGTATAACAGTTTTGGTTCTACCTATCATTTCAATTAATGTTATTATAATGCTTTTTTAAATTTATTGTTGCGTTTTTGTAATAGAAAATAGTAACTTCGTTTAGTCATGAAAAATTCTTGGAATTAGTCATGGAAAGACATGAATTTGAAAATCTGAAATGTAGCAGATACCCTGCATATAATATAATATGATTATTTTTTGTAAGAATTGCGTTGCAACATATTTAAACTTTCTTATATTCATTAAATTTATAAAATGAATTGTACAACATACTTTTTTCTGAAAAAAAAATTCTCGTTTCAAATTTTACCTTAAATATTTGCAGTTCAAAAATACTATTTGATAGGATGGTAATAATTTATTTTAAAAATTAAATTTTTGGTAAATTAATTTTAGTTTTTAAAAGTCAAAATATGCAACTGCTCTCCCAACTTTTAGATACTCCCCTCTTTACTCATTTTCTCTTACGGTAGTAATACTGTACTGTAACAAACCAATTTTTATGCAGTACGCAGTTCAAGACTTGCTGTTTTGAAACAGCAAAAATGTTAGTGATATCTTACTCATAAATACGTGACCTTTTATTAGTTATACATATTATTATATACATGACTTATTATTTTATATTTTATCCAAATCTATTTCACACCTCTGCAGATCTATTTCTTTATCATTACTACAACAATTACAAGTAAAATAAAATGTGTAATTTTTTTTTAAATTTTCTTCTCATTTTGTAATTTTTAATTTTTTTCCCTTCTGATTTTAAGTTTCAGTTGCTGATAATTATATTTAATGTAAGATTACCTTATGTTTAAGAAGGCTTCGTTTTATGAGTAAGATATTTTTTCATTGACTGATTTTTACATAAATTAATAACAGGTTAAAGTGCCTCCTGTGAGAAAAATTAATCCTCAAAAACAAAGTTCGATATATATATTGTTCAAAAAATAATTACTTGGTGAGTCAATAATTTCAGGTCTCCTTATTTTGTAAGAAAAAAAACATTCTGACTAATAAGTATATAATTAATAACGTTTGTAACAATTCCATAGCATAGAATAGTTCTAGATCAGGGGTTTCCAACTGGCTGCCCGTGGGTCTCATTCGGCCTGCGAAATCTTTTTTTGTGGCCCGCGAACCAAAATATATTAATTGTCATTTTTTTTAGGACAATTTTCGTAGAAAATTTATATGGGTTTTTAATACTTTCAAGTTTCATATCTTAACAATTTGTTGTCTGTTTCACATTAATTGATGCATAGGTGCACATTAAAATTATTGATTGCCAGAATTTTTTAATATGCAATGAAATATTTTTAAAAATCTACTTATATTAATTTGTAATTCAATATTTCTGTTTTGTACAACCTAATAAAAATCTGACAGTAATATTTAACGTTCCTTCAAACATAAAAGAGTCCTATATAAAATTTTAATAAAGTTGCGGCCCGCCATTTGACTGGTGTTTTTAATTGTGGCCCCCGGTCTCATGTAAGTTGGAAACCCCTGTTCTAGATGGAGTAACTGGCTGAGGCGGCCTTGGCCGATAACCGGCTGTAGTGCCTAAGAAGAAGAAGTGACATACTCCATGTGAGTAAAATATTTAGTTGTGGAATAAATTTATTTCATTTAGTAGTTTCCTGACATTGTAGTAAAAAAAAATTTTTCTTTGACTAACGTCTGTAATGTGTCCCACCCAAGAAATTTTAAACATTGATAACTAAAATCTGTATTGTCTATTAACAAATTACTGGTAGAATCATTTTCTCTAGAGCACTTTTTTCACTGACTCTAAAGTGATATAAATCTCCTAATTTCTATTAGACATTATGTCCTATCTAATAAAATTTAAATATCAGACGCAAATATTTAGTACTATATAATTGCTTAAATAGTTATTTGTTGTAGAGTAGCAGAAGCAGTGTTAGCTGTTAGTTAGTGCAGCTAGAAGGGTGTGTGACCCCCCTCTTTTTATTTAGTTTTTTTATAGAATTTTCTACTTGAATGTTTTGAAAAATATAGGTTTTTACATGAAATCTTATATTTCGAAAAGGCTGGGAAAAAAGTATTGCATGCCAATTAAAGTGGTTCAAATAATTTTATTTATTTATTCTTTATTTACTTTTTTTTTGCAAAATCGACAACAAAGAATTTGAACATTTTTAGCAGATTCTTTAATCATAACACATATAATTAATCATTTTTATGATCTATTGTAAAAACGATTGCAATATAAAATGTAAGCGTATATTGACAGCTACGTTTTTAAGAATTTCCTATTAACAAATTTTAAATTTGCACACAGAGAACGAATATCAAATTACTTCCATATCTTGATCCCCACCCCCCATTTTATCGATAATATATCCCGCTATGCGCACTTTGTAAGGAACATAGTCTGAAAATTTTATTGAAGACGAGGAGGTTAGCCAGTGCGGGATTAAGCGTGCGCGGGACCCTAGGCAATTCAAATTTTTGGGACCCTTAGATTAAATTTTTTTTCTCCTATATTTTTTTTTTATTCAAATATAAAAGTATTTATATATCTTTCCATTTATGAAAGCTTTCTTATAATAAATAAAATTTTACTTTTAAATAATAACTAAAATAAGTAATAAATAAATATGATTAACATTATGAAAAAAAAATTATCGTAGTTTATTAATGTATATTTGAAATTGATTTGTTTTTTAAAAAATCATTGTTTTTCTTTCTTTTCAATTTATTTTCAAAAAATCCATTTTAAGGGGGCCCCAGGCCATGGCCTAATGGGTAATCCGGCACTGGGGTTAGCTTAAAAATATCAATCCAATATATCGATGTGCTTGCAGGATGAGCCATGGCTCATTATAAATGTATGTTTAAAATTTATTAATTTTTTAATTTTAAAATGAATTTTGGTAATACACTTGGATAAAAATCGGAAAAAAAAATTTTTATCTAATTTTCTAAATCAATTATTTCCTCGCTTTTTAATTTTATTTCTACTCAGTATGATTCAATTTTTTTAGTGTGTATCATCAATATAAAGCCTGTCATAAGGAGAGAAAGATATAAATGATTGACTAAACAATCGTCTGTTCCAAAAAGGTACTCAAGCATTGCCCAATGTATACAACTATCTCCAGGGCCTGATTATCGCCTAGGCACGGGCCTTGGACCCACACTTTCTGGGGGCCTAAAAAATTAGTAAAAAGTCCACAATATTACTTTTTTTTAATAATGAAAAAAACAGTTTTTCTCAAAAAAGGCATTTTTTTATTTCAAATTTTCTTTATATTGTGATTAACCAACTCGTGTAAACATTGCACTTATCAAATTCCAAAGTACAGCTGAATTTTAATTGGTGCAATTTTTACACCGACGGCTTAAGCAAATGCAACGAGAATGCATGTTCCCAAAGTCTCTTATTAATGATTAGTGTCAACAAGAACTAAAAGCTTATTCTTAACATATATGTAAAGCTGTAGCTGGAAGGCTACAATCTTTAAAATAATTCAGCTTATCAGTGACTTTTAGCAAAAATCACTGATTTCACTTGTTTGTGCTCATCAAACTATTTTTATTTTCACAACATTTTATATTTTGCTTTAATATTTAGATGCGTAAACTATATTTTAGAAAAATAATCTTCAATTGTCTGCTTTCAAAATTTTTTAGAATGTTTCTCTTGAATTATGAAGTTCCATAGATTCTTTTTATTGTTAGGAATACTCTTCAGAAATTTAATTTCAAAATATAGTGTTAGGGGCGCCGAAATTTTGTGGGCCTGAATTTGTCTTGATCGGTAAAAGCAGCTTTAGGAAAGTCGGGTGTAAATAAAATATCAGTCTACAGGGAAATTTTCCTGACAGTGTAAGGGGTCATTGATTCA